TTAGCTATTCTACAGGATCTAGGGCATCCAAAGAATACGAAAGATCACACCACGCAGATCTTGTTTATAACCGCCAGTATGAGTGCATGAGTACGAGTTTGAGTGCAGATATGAGCAGTCCCTCTATTTCGGTGAAGTCCGTCGCCTAAGGGAGATGACAAAACGCGGAGCCCTGCTCCATGGAGTACCCTATGGAGTATGGTTAGCCAAATGTTGCAAAATTCAACAACTTGCATATTTATATTCAACAACTAATATTTATGCTCAACAAAATATATTATTATTATTCAACAGTTTACAGTTATATTCAACATTTTATATTTATGTTCAACGACACGCATTTTCTTTTCATATTCAACCAAAATTATTTTAATTCAACAACAATATTTATTCAACTTCAATAGCTATATTTATTTTATTCAACAAAATTAATTGTTCAACTTCAGTTCAAACTTTTACCCAACAAAAACAATGATTCAACTTCATGATAACGAGTTGTTTTTGTTTTTGTTGAGTAAAAAGTTTGGACTGAAGTTAAACAATTAATTTTGTTGAGTAAAATAAATATAGCAATTGAAGTTGAATAAATATTGTTGTTGAATGAAATAAACTTGGTTGAATATGAAAAGAAAATGCGTTTCGTTGAACATAAATATAAATTGTTGAATATAACTGTAAACTGTTGAATAAAAATGTATTTTGTTGAGCATAAATATTAATTGTTGAATATAAATATGCAAGTTGTTGAATTTTGCAACATTTGGCTAACCATAATGGAGTACCTTAATGGAGTACCCGTAAAAGTCATGTATTGGTCAAATAAAATATCTTATAAACATGGTAAATCGTTTAGATGTACATGTCCTAAAATATTTTGAGCTTACCGGCTCTCCGAATGTCACAGTTCGATACAATCCAGTTTTTTGGGGGACAGGTGACTAGGGATCTCAGTCTTACTAGCTCTCCCATTTTGGTTTTACCGCTGTGTAATGAGTCCTTTGATGGGAAGACAAAAAACTCCATGTGATAAACAAAACCCACTGTTTCGAGTTCTGCACGAGGTAAAATATTTAAGCTTTCTACATTTCCCAAATCATAGTCTCCTCGATTAACTATGCCCAAATCAACGGCCCCGGTCGGATTTATTTGCCGACCCGTCACTGTTTTTTTTTTTCGTTTGTTTACATACGTCAATTGTATTACGCTACAAATAGATGGGTGAGGAGAAGCTCAGTTTAAAGATATGGATTACCTTTTTTTAAGTCTTAACCTACAAATTTAAGCTTGTATCCTCATCGCTTCGCACAATTAAGAAAGCAATGAGGCCTTGTGTTATTAATGGAGCGCAACACCTCACAGACGCCACGCATAAACAGGTATTATGAAAGACGTAAAACCCGTCGCAGAATGAAGGATGTCCGTCCTTTTGGCCTCTTTAAGATCATATGAAAATAGATGGAAGTCGGCCTATTAACGATAACGTTCATGGATGCTAGCTACGTTAAAGCTTTCCGTTGGAAGTGGTCAGCAGTTTAATGTTAATTTCAAGATGGCGGTCAATTCGTGTACTACATCGAACGGCGACGATCAGAGAGCTGACAAGCTCAAAATATATCGGGATGTGTACATCTAAACGCTTCACCGTGTTCATAAAGTATTTTATTCGACTAATACATGATTTTTAGGCGTACTCCATTCAGGTACTCCATTGGGTACTCCATGGAGTAGGGCTCCGCGTTTTGTCATCTCCCGTCGCGTAGGACAAAAGAAGGAAAAAATAAAGAAAATTCAATAGAAAAATTGCCTTTCGCCTACTCATCTCCTACAGTTCCACGCGGCGTGCTAACATCAATTTTTTTTCCGCTGATTCTTTTAACTCGCGCGACCGTGATTTCGCCGAAAAAGAGGAGACAGATAACAGTCTACTTCAGTAATAGGTCATGCACCAAATTGCTGAGCGATCCTTGACACCGAGTTCTGGATCATCGATCTAACGCTTGGTTTACGTTCTGCGCTCTAAGTATGAAACCATTGTTTGTGAGACTTGATGTGTGGTTAGGGGCGACTACCAGTCAAGGATTTCAAAATACCAAATGATACTATTCGATCAGAACATTCCAAACAACATCAGGTCGGGAAATAATTGAAAAAAAAAACTTTATTCCGCAGTCTTAAAGTTGTATCACAAATTGTAAAACCTAGTTATAATCACTTCTATTTACTCATTCATCAACCAGCTGACATTTCATCTCTTTTTTTTCTTGTTAACTCCTAAATGAACACAACACACAAACGCACTAACACAAGCACCAATTTTCTGTCGGAAATCAACCTAAGACTGATATTCACCGCGACGTTCTCATTAACATTCCCAAGGTACCGGCCCTGGGTGTGTGAAGAACATTGGAGGGGAACCACTCACGGTCGATGTCCTTTACAAAAAATTGGTAACTTAGTGAAAGAAATTTCGTCAAGAGTTTGCCCATTTTGAAAAAAAATGTCTGCACTTTCTTCAAATTACATTACAACATAACTAAAGCAAAGCGCGCGCTCTGATTGGTTAATTCAGCATCTACTATTTGCCCATGGGTGTATGCTGCTGACGTGAGCAAATGCTAAGACTATTTTTTCGCACGCGCTTGTTTTTTTGTGATCACGTAAGATTTGTTAAATAAAAGGGAATTCTTGTTTCAATGTATCAATGTTATGTTATAAAACAAATGGTGAACGCCATAGCGTGTATTATTGAGTTATGGATGCACTTGGGAGGTTTGCTAAGCACTCGCCTCCTGCGACTCTTACGCTTCTTTGGTGCTTAGCAAACTCCCGCACGCATGGCGTTCACCATTTGTTAAATATGCCTTTCTAAAACAAAATCGTAAAACTTTGGCTTACAAAACTACTGAATGTAAGGGTACTACTACATGTACTGACAAGCCTCTTTCGAAGGTCTTCTCTGGTCAATTGGCTGTGACACTGATACGTCCAATTCTTGCCACTAGAGCGCCAGCACTCGTGTGGCAAAATGGATCCATTTCATGCACATAATCATGACTTACTTGTATCTATTTATCGTCTGTACCACACTTTCATGGGGTTAATTATTGATCTTGAGCAAAAAATACCCAATTAAACTACACAGATGACATCTAAAATCTGCTTTCCAAATCTAACCACTCCGCCTTAAAAAACACCAACGGTGTAACAAAAAGTAACTGATTCCACTCCCAGGGGTTTCAATACTCCCGAGGTTTCAATAACTACCGAGGATATGATAGACGCCTATGCCGTAAGGCGAAACCCAAACACGAGAACATGCTCGCAGGCTCAACAGACGGTAGTGAGGGGTCTTAGAGGTTATAGGCAGAGGTAGACTGCTACTAGCCGGCTTTTATTGCCAGGAATCACAAAGGAAAGAATTCAACTGTGTATCGAGTGCGAATGTCGAACCACTAAGAAACAAGTAGCACTTGGCTGGGGCGGATCCAGGATTTAGTCATGGGGGGTTCGAAGAATTGTCCGAGGGCATGCTCCCCCGGGAGATTTTGAAAATTAGGTCTTCGGAAACATGATTTCTAGCATTTTGAGGGAAAATTTAGGGGGTTCGACCGAACCACCCCTGGATCCGCCTTAGCTTGGAAACATCGGGTCAAAGTTGGGTCAAGATCAGAATTCTATTGTTACTCTCACTCACTCGACAACGTATGTGGCTTCGCCATTTGTAGGAGGGAGTGGCCACAAAAATAAGAAAAAAAGAAAACAGCAATTTGACAATCGTTGTAATGTATAGGTAGAGGTAGATGCGAAACAATATCACTTAGCATCGTTTTCAACTCGAAATTCCACGCAAAATACCTGGCTTAAATAACCAATCAGGATGCGAGATTTCATTCAGTTATGTGATTCTTTGTTAGATAATAGCTATGAGGGGGTAAATTAGCTGAGGGTAGACTAGCTTTTAGATAAAAACTCACCAGCGATTTAAGTGATTTTCGATTAAGCGTCGTAAACAATGCAGTATTGCAGTGGTTTGCCATCCTCTTGATCGATCAGTCACAAAAACAGAACCCAGTTGCGACTGGATCGCTCGCGTTTTATATACCGCGCTCCAGAGTGCATTGCGCACTAATCAAGATGGCGGCGGCAGGAAATTTGAAGTAGGTGTTAAACCCTTCTTTGGAAAACGATAAAAAAAAAAAACAGATCGCTTAAAAAGGCAATTTTCTTTTTACCAGATCTATTGAGAAGTACATTTGGAACATTTTGAGCGATATTGGATAAAAGAATAGAGGTTCCCTGTTAGGTAGTCTTGTTTTTATTTTGAGCTGTCTTTGCCTCCTTGCGATCTTTTACTTTCATCTGATTGGCTGTCATGATTACTTTGGTTTTGGTTTGACGAAACTCAATCGATATGCGCAATAGTTAAAACCCCATCCACCCCTCCCCTCCCCCACTAGGCTTAGCCACAAGTTGCTCGGCAACTTTTCGGCAACTTTTGAGATTTTCGGCAACTTTTTTGAATTTTGGCAACTTTTAGAATTTTCGGCAACTTTGGGCTTTTTGAGGTTCGATAGACATTTATTCAATTTATTCTAAAATACAATAATTAGGGTCCCCCCCATGGGTTGATTTTTGTGGTGCCTTATCACGAGGTCAGTAGTATCACGTTGCACGTTTTTCGAGATGGCGGACAATTACAGTGATTCCAATACATGGTGGGAACACGTCACATGAAAACTGTATTATGTGTGTATATAACCATGTTTTGTTCATGTCATTCTGATAGACTATTTGTTGATCAAGTGAAATGGAAAGAACCTCTGATATCATCATTGAACTTTGACAAATAAAGTTTTGATAAGAAGCAATGTGCGAATTTTTAATCTTTAACACCCAAAAAAGGTACGAAAAGCAGAAAAATTTTGGCAACTTTTCGGCAACTTTTTGGAAATTCAGCAACTTTTCGGCAACTTTAAAATAAAAAATAAAATAAAATAGCAAATTTTTGGCAACTTTTAGACACTTTTATCGGCAACCTTTTTTGGGATTCATCGGCAACTTGTGGCTAGGCCTATCCCCCACCATGTTATACGTGCTAATCGTTAAATATGCTTCTTACTAACAGAGGTTTGTGTTTCCAGAACTGGGCACTTCATTACGCACTCGTACATCTCTTCAAATTCCTCGATGAATTTTTCTGTTAGTTTACCGGGATCACAAAGAACAGCTTTATCGGACAACACGCTCATGCGCAGTGGCCCTGCATAACTGAATACTGCAATGGACATGCTAGTATCGCTGACCAATGGGGGCCAAGCTATGGCGGTTCTCACTTCCTTCCCATTAATTTCAAATGGCGTCAGAGGGCCGGGCACATTGCTAAGAATCAATGAGCAGTGACGCTTCAGCGAAAACGACGAAAAACGGCCAATGAAATCGGGCAATCTTCCTATGATGTGAGAGTAGATGAGCCCGAAGACTCGCCAGTCTGACGAAGACTTCAAGTTGTCCATTCTCCTTTTCGTTTCTAGCAAACGCTTGAACGGATCAGCCAGTCCCACGGGAAGGTTGTAAAACATGCCAGTTGAGTGATTTTCGAGCGGTATGTTGTCACGTGACAGGACTTTGGGAGAGCGCGTGTTGACGGTCACGGCGATCTGAATGTCATCTGGGTGTTTTGCACCTTCTGATTTGAGATAACGACGCAACGAACCCGCCAAACAGGTTGAAAGAACATCATTGACAGTCGTTCCTAATTACAAACACAATTTCAATCTGATCAGAGAAGTTTAAAATTAAAATATCGAAAGTAATCCGAGACTGCATTGGTTTTGTTAGTCTTCCCTCTGTGATTGATCCAGAAAACTCGTTCCACTCTCTTAACCCATTACACCCTTACATCAGTATGAATATTTTGAGGAGAAATTAGATAGAAGTCACGGTTTTCCGCGCTACAGTGGGTTTACTTGTGTAAATAAAAATTTTCCCCAGCGTTAATTGCTGTTCACAGTTCACAAAAATTAACGCTTTAGAAAAAAGAGTCGGGTGACATGAAAATGGCTTTAAACGCAGTTTTGATAAACGGTTGAACTTAATTTTTATAAATACCCTAATATTTACGTGAATGGTATTTCTTAGCTATTCCGCCAGTCTGTTTTGACCGTGCGCTTGGAACGAGCTGAGGTGATGGAAATAAAACTGCTATGTTAATGCACAGTATTGCGATCTGGATGGAAAGTATTTCAACCTCTAGCGTGTAGAACAAGTGTTCATTTCTGCGTGTCTTTGCAAGCGAAAGACGCGCGAAACGCACGTGGTGGAAGAGGAAGAGCCCCTTCTCTCGCGCTGACTAGCCTTACACGTTTTTCTCGCTCTAGCATGGCACTTTCCTCCATTAGCGACAAAAACGCCAAAAAAAAAAAAAGCCCAGTTGTGCAAGTTTCAAATGCCATCTAGCTAAGCCAATCACCTCAATACAAGAAAATAGTCAATGAATTGTCTACGTTTTGTCACCTGTTCGTATCTTGATCTGCTTCACGTGCTCCAAGTCGATAGTGTTTGTCCAGCTGATACACTTCTCACCAGACATCTTCGTAGCAGGGAACGGATTATCAGCGGTGGAGAGTGCTACGCTTAGAAGAGCTAACGGACCGGTTAAAATTGCTTTCCATACCTACAAAATAAAAAGCGCGACGAGAACATGATATAATTCAATAAGTACCGAAAGCAAAGTATGATTGCAGTAATGTTTTGCACCTTTCCCCTCTTTTCACAACTATTTGAGAAATTTTAAATTGATTGTCAAAGTGATTCAGGTTTGCTTTAGCTTTGCTTTACTTCGCTTTGTGATGTGTCTAAAAAATAACTCGTGCCGCTCTCTCAACAAATCAGATGAAAAACTAAAACCAATCCCAACTCGGTCAGTCGTGTTCTCCCGCCCTTCAAGCAGATTCTGCTTTTAATTCGAGTCCCTAATCCTTCTTTCAGATATCTACTGTCATTCGAATGGGCAATTAAGTCAAACTTTGCTTTTAGTTTAGCAAAACACACGAAAAAAGCTCCAAAAAAACTCAGTTGTGGACATCTCAGTATGATGTAGGGCTTTTTACCAAGAGAAGGCACTGCCACCTTGAAAACTCCTGCAAGCAAGTCCTCATTTTTAACGCTGTACGACGCACGTTTCTCCGCCAGCGGGAAGATCTCAGACGAGTCAAGGAGAGGTTTGCCGGGGATCTAGCAATCTAATAATTATCAGTACCAGACCCCTTGCAGACCTCTGACCGGCTCGCGTTGTTTAAGGCCTCATACTTTCCCGCGGGCGAAAAAAACGCTCGTGCCGAAACGCTAATAACGTGGGCATGCGCGTAGAGTACCTTAACCAACTTTCTTTATTCTAAAGAATAACCAGTTTTACCTGTTTTTGTTTGTCACAGGGGGTGGCCACAGGTTTCTGGACACGCAGCAGCTCTGGCTTTTTGTCCATTAGCCTAGCGAACAGACCAACCATAGCAAACCCGTCTCCTATTGCATGATGGATTCTCATACAAATTGCAGTCTGATCCTTGCCAGGGAGGTCTAGAGGCATCACTAAGATCTCCCAAGGAGAAATATCTTCACGCATCGGTGATGAAAACTGCTCACCCAGTACCTTCTGTAATTCCTCTTCGTTATGCGGGCCACTGCCTTCTGATTGCCTCACGTGCTTGTTGATATCAAATTCCGGCTCGTCTTGCCAAATGTAACGCCAGTAACGTTGAACAATACGTTGACGCATGCGCACGTAGCTAGGTTCCTCGACATTTTCTACTACACGGGACATTATCAGTTGACGGAGCTCTTTCATATCAATTGTCCCATCTAGCACAAATAGACCGTTGATAAAATTTCGGTTATACTCTGTCTCATGAAGAAAGGGTACATCATTACAAGCCAACAACTTCCCCAGTCCCCAGTAAGTGATGCAAATCCCTTGGAACCATTTCAGAATTCTGAACAAGAACCAAAACGGCAGCGCGAGGATGGCGAACAGCGTCCATACTAGGATAGCAGAGAAGCACAAAAGGGCGTAAAGAAAAGGTGGAGCAGACTGGATGTATTTCGAATAAAGATTCATTTTGGGACCCTGATCTTCAAGCGTTAGCGTGTAGTGCACTCCTGTAAAAAATGAAAAAAAGGATAAATATCACGAATCAAGAATCCCAGTCAATTAAGTGTAGAAAACCAAAACCAAACCAATCACAATCAATCAAAACAAAGACTGCAATTAACCACAGAGAACTTAAAGTAAAAACAAGCAACCTGCTCAAAACGCGGGAAAATGCGAATGACCGAGTTAAGTGGTTTTAGTTTTGCACTTGCTTGGCCGCGATGGTAGCGCCTATTTTCTAAAAATATCTCAAAGCGATTTAAAAACCAAAGCAATCCAGGATCACTTCCGACACTCAATCGAAAACTGTCTTAACCGGAGCTTACCTCGGTTTCCATAGCATAAAGACCAAAAGAACCGGCTTGTCCTACACTTATTTAATCTAAAACTATACCAGCTTTCTATCACACATGCTACAATCTGATTGGCTTCGCTACTCGCTAACTATTCCGTGATGGATGATGGGTAATTGTGTAAACGAAGGAAACGCAACCACGAGCCTGTCTTGTTGGTAAGTTTTAAACGACTGTTGCATTTAAATCAAAACAATTTTAATATCCGCTCTTGCAATTGATTTCTATGCGAGATAGTTCTTTCGGATTTCACCCTGGTCAATTATCACGTCCTATAAAACGGAAAAACCATCGTTTGTTTAACTGGTAAACCCATACAAAATTGATACGTACTGTGTTTTGTTTTCAATTTATTTATAAAGGGAATAAATCGCAAAAGTTTAACGTCTGTGAGTATCTTCCTACCACAGAGGTTATGTCTGATTTAAGCTTTAAATGCTTCAGATTGTTTATCACACGGTCATATGCGCCGCTATCTCGGCTACACCACAGGTGTGCTGTCAGCTCTCAAGGTTAAGAAAACACAACCATGGCAGCCGGAAGTTGTAGTTGGTCAAACAAAGAATACGGTAGACACTTTAACAGCAAGGCAGTAGCACATTTAAGAAGTTATTGCAATCTAAACCTACTTATATCCTTTCCTCAGCGAGTTTGCTCCGGCTATCTCTTCCCTAATTATGAGGAAAAATTGGATGCTAGTCACTCTCTCCGAGGTTAAAGAATTAAGGTGATCTCCTTCGAGAAAATCTTAACCCTTTCAGGAGGGTCTCAATGGGGTTTAGTGTTTAATGTTATTTGCCCATATTTTTAGTGTTTACTGTTAAATTAGCCATTTTTCTGATGTTTACTGTTCTTGAAAAAAAATACTGTTTAGTGTTTGAAAGGAGATGCCAAAGTTCTTTGAGCATTTTCAAATTTTATCTGCTCTTTTAAATTCTACAAGAAAATCAAGAAAATCACTCGCGAACGGTGAGCCAAAGCTGAAATGCTCTTGTCTTCATTCTGGGGAGTACTGGGACGAATCAATGTTTACGAATGTAAATGCTTATCTTAAAAACACAGTCGCTGAAGTAAGGCAGAACCATAAAATGAAAGAAATGGCAGCAACAAATGGCCCTGAAGGAACTATTTCCAGCAAAACACAGGAGTCAATATTGGTGCTTCTCGAACGAGGTATGGAACAGCTACGAGATAACGATAAGAATGTAAACGAGAATCTTCGTGACATTGACCTGCGTACGCTGCTAACAACCATAGGCGTACGGGCACCTTTGGACTTGGGGGTGCCGTGACTTCCTTGCCCGAAAAAAACACGCAATGCCCGAAAGGGTAAGGGCTGAAATCGGGATGCAAATGAAGACGTTCACCATTTTCCCATCTAATGAAACTGCTATCATTGAAAGCTGTCAATAACTGGTAGTTACCAGCTAGGTGACATCAGCTCGTATTATGTGATACTTTAATACTGAGATTTACGGATGGAATCGATCGAATAGAGTAAACGAATTACTTAATGGAATTTGTGTAATATTTACCTTTCGCCTTGTTGACCTTGACGGCCGCTTGACCTTTAGTCACCTAAGTTTTTCACGTCTTCTTGAACCTTTCAAGTCCACGGACTTCACAACGAAACGAACGAACTTCAATGAGGAAACCTAAACCTTCATGTGAACTCGTCAAAATGTTTTCCCGCTCTCGGCGAAATTGGCGCGAAAATTAGGCACGAACTGCAGGAGATGTTACCGAAACAATACACTTTACATTTTACACGATATTATTCAAATTACGACATCTCTGAAGACATCACTTTCGGGCATCTAATCACCTGAAAAGTAATTAACTAGAAACTTTATTCACGACTTTTGGAAATCACGCCAACGGCATTATTTTATAATGTTTTCTCCCAAATGTCATTGCCTGAATCAAGAGCGTTTTGCCCGAAAATTACATAATTTCCGAAGCTGGGTGGGGGGGCTGCAGGCTCCCCCTCCGCCCCGTACGCCTGCGCTAACAACTCAGGTGGAGAACCATGCAGTCTCCCACTTAAAAAACGAGACTTGCAATTCTCTTCAGTATGCTCAAGACTTCGGAAAATTTCAAAGGAATCTTTAAAGAGAACAACGAAGTGGGGTGCGAAGTAATTCACATACGAGAAGTCTTATTATCCGGTGCCTAAATCCAGTGCGGAGTTACGGGATGTACATTTGATGAAACCTCCTCCAGCTGGTAACAATGATCCCAACATTGAGGCAGCCATGAAGGAATTAGTTGACAAGTATCGACCTGTCAGGCAACGGACGGTAAGAAGCGAAACAAAGGACAAAGCGGCAGCCCTGCCAACCAGTTGTATATTCCAGTACGCCATCGTGTACTGGAGTAACATTCCAAGAGGATGTTCAAGACAATCCAGGGGCATAGGCAATGAAGAACGAGTCGACCAGGATACAAATATTCCACGAGCTACAGACAAAGTACCAAGAATCTCCTTTGTTGACGAAAGCATACTTGGAGTTGTCGCAGTTGGTGACGTGATAGACCTCCCCGAGCAAGAGGATGAATTCGACACCAACTTGGAGAGCGATGCGGACAATGATACAGACATAACTTTCAACAGATGTGGTCGCGCCATCCGCGCTCATTTCCGCCTTGATCTTTAGAAACATCTGGGACTATCAGGACAATCAGGACTATTCAGGTATGGAATATAACTAAATGTTTTTGGCCATGATGGTGTGACAGGTCTGTCATTTTGGTTGACCATTATACATTGTGAGTACTGTAGCCGATCTTATTGGTAAAAGAAATATTCTGTTATTGCATTCATTACTCGTCAAATTTAAACACTCTTTTTGTTTACAGTGCAGATACCCCAAATGGGACCATCTCACGAAGCTAACCAATCATATTGACGTATTTATTTCGATGTTCCATCCCATTGGCTGTTTGATTTGAATATCATAATCTGATTTGTTACTGATATATTCTCTCTCGTAAGTGGTCACGGTTAGTGTATCCTTGCTGTAAAAGCGCTTTAAGAATAGAACTGTTATGGGTTATGCAAGCCAAATCTCCGGTAGTCTTCACATAATAATAATAATAATAATAATAATAATAATAACAATAACAATAATAATAATAATAGTAAGGTTTTTATGAGCCCATTTAAGAATCTCTATGCGCTTACATAGCATAATAAAAATAAAATATAACAACGATACTAACAGTCAGTAGTACCTACACTAACAAAAATAAAGTTCAATGGGATAAAAACCTATGTAGTGTTTCACAATGCTAAAAATAAAATTTCCAGAATAGGAATGTTTTAAGGGCAGATTTAAAAGACGAAAGAGAAGCTGCAGATTTAAGAAAATCAGGAAGAGTATTCCATAATGTAGGTGCACAGAAGGAGAACGCATGTTCACCGTATGACACAGAATTTATAGTGGGGACAGTAAGAAGTGATTTAGAAGATGAACGTAGAGTACGTGGTGGATGATATTCTTGTAGCAGGGACGACAAATAGACCGAGAAAGTCCATGAAGAATCTTAAAAGTAATAAGAATAACTTTAAACATTATACGTGAATCAACTGGCAGCCAATGTAGTTTTTGAAGAGCAGGTTTGATGTGATCATATTGTTTAGATCCAGTAATAAGACGTGCTGCAGTGTTTTGAACTCTCTGAAGTTTTTCGAGTTCCCCTTTTGGTAAACCATAGAGGATACTGTTACAGTAGTCCAGTCGTGATATTACGAGAGCGTTGACTGATAGTTTAAGGTTTTCATTAGTGAGGTATTTACGAATGCGCCCTATGGATCTGATGCCATTAGTTGCTTTCCTGCATGTCTCATTAATGTGGTATGTCAGTGTTATATTTTTATCTAAAATAACACCAAGATCACGGACTTTCTCGTTAGTTCAATGACGGTACTGTCAAAAAAGAGCTTCTCAATGTTAGGTGTCTTGGTAAATCGGGATATGAATAAAATAACTTCAGTCTTTTCAGCATTACTTCTTAGCACATTGTGGGTATTCCATAGCATTACGTCCTCGATGCAGGTTTGGAGGGCAGTCATAGACGGGGCCTGATTTGCGGGATCGATAGTAATATTTAATTGAGTGTCATCGGCATAAAACAAAGAGTCGAGATTGTGGCGAGCAATGACATCTTGCAGAGGGGCAATATACAGGGTGAAAAGTAGGGGTCCAAGTATGGAACCTTGTGGGACACCATATCGAAGAGCACGAGGAGTGGACACTTGATCTCTAATAATTATTGATTGACGACGGTTTTCAAGGTATGATCTCAACCAGTTCAGCGTCAGTTGTGAGAAACCAAAGTAGGATTCGAGTCTTTCCACCAGGATCACATGGTCAATGGTGTCAAAAGCCGCCGATAGATCAAGGACTAATACAACATCTCGACGGCGATCAATCGTTCTCAGAATGTCGTTCGTCAGACGGAGCAAAGTTGTCTCCGTAGAATGGTGTTTCCTATACGCAGACTGCATAGTGGGTAGCAAGTTGTAAGATTCAAGATAGTTGTATACTTGTGTTGCTGCTACCTTCTCAATAACTTTGCTAAGAAAGGGAATATTAGCCACCGGACGATAGTTCTTAAAAATCTCCTTGTCAAGATTCTCCTTTTTCAGACAT